GAATCAAGGAAGGAATGAAGGTTTCTGCCCTGAAGTGAGCCCTGCTCCTGCCAGCTGACCACTCTAGACAGAGGCATTTAACTTGCAGGACGCTCAGTGACCTCTGGAGAATGGGAACACAGCCTCCTTCCTGACATTGCCTTCCCTCCCAAAGCAGGTGTGAGGATTGGTGAGGGGTCTGCCGGGGGGCTGCCAGGCTTCACTGTCACAGCATTCTACTCAAGCCACTATCACCCTGACTTGGACCCACGAGGGGGGCCCCTCCTGTCCCTGAAACACTTCTGTGAAGCAGCACATGCAGCCAGGATAGAAATGACAACAGCCATGTGTAACCATCAGGCCAGAGAGAGCAATCTCTTGGCCTTGGGGTTCCCCATGCCTCCCTTCCTATCCGCTCACAAGTAGGAACCTTCTAAGAACCAGTTTTGGAGACCAACACCGTGGCATAGAGCCACCACTGATAATGCCAGCATCCCATATGGACTCCAGTTCAAATTCCAGTTGCTCCAATCCTGATTCAGCACCTGCTAATGCTCCTAGAAGCAGTGGAGGATGGCCCCAGTCTGGGGGCCCCTGTACCCACATGGGGAGAGTCGGAGAGGGCTCCTGGCTCCTGGATTTGGACAGGCCACTGCAGCCACTTGGAGAACGAACCAGTGAACAGGAGGGCTCTCTCTGTCACTCCACTCTCTCTTGCTGTGACTCTGCTTTTTCAAACAAACAAATATTAATAAATATATAAAAGAATATACTCTGCCCAGCCCCCTCACTCCCTGACATAACACAGACTGCTGTGAACCTCCTAACACTCTCCTCTTCCCCCTGATAGTGCCTACCCAACCCCCGAATTCTGCTGATTAAACTCCCTTTTTGCCCTCAACTGCCCCCTCTTCCAGGAAGCCTCCCAGCAGGCCCCCATCTGAGGCAGCAATTTCTTCCTTAGCTTGCATACTCTTGCCTTTCCTCACAGCCCCCAACACTGTTTTGTGTCTGTACAGCAAGCCAGCAATTTTCAAAGGACCCCTTGATGGGCCTCAGAATTACAGACTATCCCATTAGCTGTTGTTTTTGAGGGCTAGAACTACCAGTATATACCAAATTGAAATCAGAAGCTGAAACGGTGTCGCAGCATGCTAATCCTTTGCCTCTAATGTCAGCATCCCATATAAGCACCAGTTTGTGTCCCAGCTGCTCCACTTCCAATCCAACTCCCTGCTTTGGGCCTGGGAAAGCAACAGAGGATGGCTCAAGGCCTTGGGACCCTGCGCACATGTGAGAGACCTAGAAGAAGTTCGTGGCTCCTGGCTCCTGGCTTCAGCTCAGCTCAGCTCTGGCTGTTGCAGCCATTTGGGGAGTGAACCAGCAGATGGAAGATCTTCCTGTCTCTCCTCTCTGTGTGTAAATCTTTCCAATAAAAATAAATTTTTTTAAAGATTCACTTATTTTTTTAAAAGATTTATCTATTTATTGGAAAGGCAGATATATAGAGAGGAGGAGAGACAGAGAGGAAGATCTTCCATCCGATGATTCACTCCCCAAGTTAGCGCAATGGCTGATGCTATGCCGATCCGAAGCCAGGAGCCAGGAACTTCTGAGTCTCCCACACGTTGCAGGGTCCTAAAGCTCTGGGCCGTCCTCGACTGCTTTCCCAGGCCACAAGCAGGGAGCTAGATGGGAAGTGGAGCTGCCAGGATTAGAACCGGCACCCATATGGGACCCCGGCATGTTCAAGGCAAGGACTTTAGCCACTAGGCCACGCTGCCAGGCCCAATTCACTTATTTTTATTAGAAAGTTAAATTTTACAGAGATAAGGAGAAACAGAGAGAGAAAGATCTTCCATCTGCTCAACTAGCTATCCTCTGCCTGTAAGCGCCAGTATACCATATAGGCACCAGCTCATGTTCTAGCTGCTCCACTTCCCATCAAGCTCCCTGCATATGGCCTGGAAAAGCAGTGAAGGAGGACCCTGCACCTGTGTGGGAGACCCGGAAAAAGCTCCTGACTTCAGATGGGCTCAATTCCAGCCTGTGGCCCTTTGGGGAATGCACCAGCAGATGGAAGATCTTTCTCCCTATCTCTCCTTCTCTCTTTGGATCTGCCTTTACAATAAAAATTTAAAAACAAAAAGTTTTAAGAACTCACACTTTACAAAGCAAGAATGATTCGTGAGAAGGGCAGTGTTTCGCATTGTTTGCAAACCTCCCTACTGCCTGGCTCACCTGCCCACCTGGAAGCCATGGTGCCTGGTGCAGGAGCATAAGAGCTGCTGAGTGACACCCCACCCCTGTGCCCTGCAGGAGGGGTAGGACCTACAGAAGCCCAGTGAGGACTGCCATATACCACCTTGGCCAGCCCCTCGCCCAGCCAGGTCTAGAGCCAGCAAACCTGTCGGTGAAGACGCACAGGGAAGGCACAGTCCCAGGGTGGAACAGAGCAGGGCCATGGCTCTCCAAACACACTGTCCTGCATGTTCAGCACAAGGCCACCCCGACAGATTCAGGGCCAGGCCCCTCCATGACAGGAAACCTGCTTTGGGCCTGGTCCAGCCAGAATAAAAAGTGCCCCATGAACAAGGCACTGCCTTACCCTCCCTCAATTGTCCCTGCACATACCCAAGATCAACGTAGCCAGGCTTCAAGGATCCAGTGAAAACCTGGGTCCGGGGACCACAGCAGCCCAAGGCCTGAGGGTGGAAACAGAGCAGAACCTTAGCAAAAGGAATGTCCTCTCCTGCCTGCAGGGGGCGCTGCCTTTAGCAGCACCAAACCAGACTGCTCCAGTTCTGTCCCCACTGGCCCCATTGCTCCCTCTGGCCCCTCTGGCCCCTCTGCTCTGCCCGCCATAGGGTAAGAGAGGGATGTCACAGAGGCTGGTATTGTAGCCAGCAGGATAAGCATCTCCTATAAGTGCTGATTCAAGTCCTGCCTGTCTGCCTCTCCCTTCTCCTGCAGCTTGCTCCTAGGTCACCTGGAAAGACAGAAGATGGTCTAAGTGCTTAGGCTGCCAGTACTCACAACAGGAGACCTGGACGCAGCTTCAGGCTCTTGGCTTTGGCCTGGCCCAGCTCCAGCTGCTGCAGCCATTTGGGGAGCGAACCAGCAGACGGAAGCTTTCTTTCTTTTGCCTCTGTTTCTGTAATTTTTCCCCTCAAAGACATAAAAACCAATCTTAAAAAAAAAAAAAAGAAAGAAATATAGAAATATGTAAGGACCAGTGTTGTGGCATGGAGGGTAAAGCTGCTGCCTGTGGTGCGGGCAACTCATGAGGGTGCTGGTTTGGATTCTGGCTCCTGCACTTCTGATCCAGCTCCAATGACTTGGAGAAAGCAGCTGAAGACAGCACCAGTGCCAGATCCCCCTGCTACCGAGTAAAAGACCTGAGCAAGCTCCTGGCTTGTGGTTTCCTGCCATTGTGGCCATCTGGGAAGTGAACCAGTAGATGGAAGATGGTTCTCGGCCTCTCCCTTTCTCTCTGTAACTTTGTCTTTCAGATAAATAAATAACCCTTTATCTATTAAAAAAAAAAAAAAAGAGAGGGGGGTACCCAGTAGTAGCAGTAGCCTAGTGGCTAAAATCCTCACCTTGCACCTGCCAGGATCCCGTATGGGTGTTGGTTCTGATCCTGGCCGCCCTGCTTCCCATCCAGTTCCCTGCTTGTGACCTGGGAAAGCAATCAAGGATGGCCCAAAGCCTTGGGACCCTGCACCCACATGGGAGACCTGGATGAAGCTCCTGACTCCTGGCTTCAGATCGGAGCAGTTCGGGCCATTCCAGCCACTTGGGGATTGAACCTTCGGATGGAAGATCTTCCTCTCTGTCTCTCCTCCTCTCTGTATATCTGCCTTTTCATTAAAAAAAATACAGAGAGAGGTGTATCATGGCAAACCTGAGGGCCTTAGCATTTACTGCCTCCCAGGAACTCTGAATTTTGCAGGGCTGTGTGACCTTGGAGAAGGTGTTTAACCTCTCGGGGCCTTAGCACCACCCTTCAGAAAGCTGTTATACTGCCTCATAACATTATACTGAGGAGAGAAACTACGTGGAGGACCTCTTGCTTGGGGTTTCAAACAGAACAGACATTCACAAATGGCAGCCAGAAACGGCTGCCTCCCAGCCTCCCGCCCTGCCCTCTAATGCCAGATTGACAGCCCCTGCCTCACTCCTTGAGGGCAGCCAGCCCAAACAGATTTTCTATGCCAACAATGCTCCAGGAGGCAGAGGTGCGAAGGGACCACACTGTTTAAGGAGCGTGTGCCCAACAGAGCGATAGCACAACTCCCTACCCAATGCTGGGGCCGCTTGTCTCTGATCTTGCTCCTGCAGCTTTAGGGGCCACAGGGGTAGGCAGCCCAACCCCACCAGCTCACAGCAGCTTCTCCTCTGGTCCTGGCCACGCAGGTGATCTAACTAAAGACCCCGAAGCGGCTGAACCCATCACCTTGACGGCACCGTGATGGGACACATGGGCCTTAAAGCAGCCACATTCAGCTTCTCTTGCATTCTCAGAGGTCCCTGTGGCCCTCTTGCTGCCCACCGCAAAACAACCCAGAGCTCTGCCTCCCTCCCAGCACCCTCAGCCAGCACCTGGCAGGGGGCAGGGAGGAGCTGCCAGTCACTTTCCCCAGCCTCCTCCACCACAGCCCTCACTCCATCCCACCCCCAGGCCTGATTCCCACTACTGGGTTTTCTCAGCTACTTCCTTTGCCTTTAAGAACTGCCACCCCTCACCAGGGTCTTAACCTCAGCACCTTCAGCTGAGTTGGATTAAGAGACCATTTCAGGCCTTTGCACATTCCTTTGGTCTGCTGGCTGTCCCTCCCTCCCTACCCCATAGAGACAGAGTAGCCAGTAGCCCAGAGCAGCCTGCCAAGGGCAGCCAGGAGCTGCCGTGCAGGAAGAGAAACTGCCCCCGCGATAAGGGCTGTGCGGCTGGCAGGGAGCGGGCTCTCGGGCTCCTGGGTGCCACAGACACTCGAGAGAGCCATGAAGAGCGGTGGGCCATGAAGGACTACTCTGAAGTCATCGTCTGCCTGGAGGCAGCCGAGCTGAGCAAGGTAAGGACCTTCCCCCCAACAGCCTGGCACTGTGACCCCCAGGGCCCTCTGCCCTCAGCTCAAGTCTCTCTCATCCAGACTGAGTTCTGCAATCCGGCTTTTGAGCCTGAAGCTGAACAGCCCTGCCCTGTACCTGCCTTCCAGGAAGAGGCCCCCCACAGCGGTCCAGCTCCCTGGCCTGGTAACAGGGTAGACTTGGGGACTAGGGCAGGGGGCCTGAGGCAGGGGGTTGAGGACAGTGTATGTGGGATGCTTGGGGGAGGGGCGGGGGGGAGGGTCTCTCCAAGTGTCCCCCTGGCTGCTGTAGGCCGGCGCCAAGGCAGGCTGCAACCCGACTGCCGCTTCTCCTGGCTCTGCGTGCTCCTGCTCACTGGCCTGCTGCTTCTGCTGCTTGGGCTGCTGGTGGCCGTCATCCTGGCGCGTGAGTACCAGGCCCCTCGGGAAGGCTCCCCCTGCGATTCCGTAAGCCCCATCACCTGGCACCTATAGGAGGGGCAGCGCCTATGAACGCTTCTCCTCCACCTCCTGTCTCAGAATTGCAGGCCGCACCCCCATCCGGCGCCACCTACAGCCCCCTGCCTGCCCGGGGCCTCCCCACCACTGCCTCCGCTCCCACCACTCTCACCACTACTACTACCATGGCCCCTTGGGCATTTGGAACTCCTGGCCAGCTGCGGGAGGAGAGCATGAGTCCCATGACCCAGTCCAGTGAGTACTGAGGGCAGCTGTTACTGGATGGACAAAGTTGGAGGGGGAGAAGAACAGGCAAAAAGAGGCACCTTAGGGAGCAAAGCGCTTCTCACCTTTTGACCTTTGAACTCTAACCTCTTCTCTGCAGCCTGTGGGGGCCTCCTTCCTGGTCCCAGGGGCTTCTTCAGCAGCCCCAACTATCCAGACCCTTACCCTCCCCATGCCCACTGTGTGTGGCACATCCAGGTGGCCACAGACCACACGATACAGCTCAAGATTGAAGCTCTCAGCATGGAGAGTGTGGCCTCCTGCCTCTTCGATCGCTTGGAAATCTCTCCGGAGCCAGAAGGACCCCTCCTCAGGTGGGTACCTCTGCCTCCAGGAGATGGCACCCCATCCCGAACCCCTATTCAGGGCACAGGTCAATGTGGGTGCAGTGGCAATGGCTGCATCTCTAGGTCCAGCTCTGCCACCCCGATGCTGTGTAACTGACCTATTTAATCATCTGTGAGGTAGGGGCTTCCCAATGGTCCCATAATTGAGTACCACCAGGCAGATGCACAGTGTGTGTGTGTTGCCAGGTGGGAGGGCGGGGACTAAGGCAATCTGAGCACCCCAGGGACAGCAGAGGAAGCTCAGTGCACCAGTGGCTTGGGGGTTGCAGAAGTAGGAGAGCAGGGCCCGGGCAGGCCCCAAGTGCCAAGCCTGAAGGGCCCTCCATGGTCTTGCAGGGTGTGTGGGAAGGTGGCTCCTCCCACACTCAACACCAATACCAGCCGCCTCCGGGTGGCCTTCGTCTCCGATGGCAGTGTGGAAGGGTCTGGCTTCCAGGCCTGGTACCAGGCTGTGACCCCCGGGCACGGTGAGTATCTTCCAACCGTGTGCCCAGTGGCCTGCCAGGTGTCTGCTTCCCTCCTAGCAGTTTCTCCCAGTGCTGGGGGGAAAAAAAAGTAGCAGGAGGAAGCAGAGACTTTGGGGGCTGCTGAAGGCAGATGCCGTCTCCAGGGAGCTGTGCCCATGACGAGTTCTTCTGCGACCAGCTCATCTGCCTGTTGTCTGACTCAGTGTGCGACGGCTTTGCCAACTGTGTTGACGGTAGTGATGAAGCCAACTGCAGTGCCAGGAGCTGGGGTATGGGGCCGCCAGGTGCAGGGCAGGGATAGTCCTCAAGCGCCTTCTGCAGGCTCGGGCTCAGCCCCCAAACCTCAGGGTTCCCAGCACTGCATGTACTCCCGCTCCCAGTCAGAGCTTGTTCCGCTGTGGCCAGGGTCCAGCCTCATCCTACACCTGCTGAGTGGCAGTGCAAATCCACGAGCTGCTGAGCATCCCTGCCTCTCTACAGGGTGTGGGGGGAACGTGACGGGGCTCCGGGGCACGTTCTCTGCTCCCAGCTACCCGCAGCAGTACCCTCACCACCAGGTAGGTGCAGTGCTGCCCTGGGGAAGATGGTGGGCTGGCACACGAGCACATGGGAGGTGCCACTTTGTCCTGCAAGAAGCTGGACAGCAAGCAGTCATGCACAGGGTTCACTCACCTCTGAGCCCAACCAACTGAAAGGCCTTCCCGAGCTGCCAATGATAGAACCACCCATGCCCTGCCTGCCTCTCTCTGAATGACTCCACCTGTGCCCTCCCCAGCTCTGCACCTGGCATATCTCGGTGCCCACAGGACACGGCATTGAGCTACAGTTCCACAATTTCAGTCTGGAGGCCCAGGACGAGTGCAAGCTGGCTTATGTGGAGGTGTATGAGACCCGCAGCTCGGGGGCCCTCAGCCTCCTGGGCAGGTACAAGGCCAGGGAAGGGGCCACGGCTCACCACCACCCTTCCCCCACACTCCCTGCAAGCGGATCAGCAGGTTGGCTGCACACTGGCCCTGGGGTTCCCCGCCTCCATCTTCTACTCCAAGCCTGCCTCTCCACGGTGACCCCGCCCTCTAGAAAAGGCTTCTAGCTTCTGCCTGCCTTGCTTCATCCTCATGCTCACCCTTCCCCCAATATCTCCCACCCCAGTTCTTCCCACTCAGGGGAACCTTTTCCACCTTCCTCACTCACCATACCATCCCTGCTTTTTTCCCACCTCCAAGTGACTCAAGCTCAAGCAGCTTATGATTTAGTAGGTTGGTGGTGGTTCCTACCAGGTGCCAAGCTGCAAGCATGAATCAGCTACTGGGTCTCCCATCGTCCCTGGCACAAGCCTGGGGGAGGCGTCAGTGTGTCATGGGTTCAGCCAGGGGACCATGGCCAGGATGAGTCTCTGCTTTGGGCAGGTTCTGTGGGGCAGAGCCACCACCCCGTCTCATCTCCTCGCACCATGAGCTGGCCGTGCTGCTGAGGACCGACCGTGGCATCAGCAGTGGGGGCTTCTCAGCCACCTTCCGGGCCTTCAATGCCACAGAGAGTTGGTGCCCCTGGACGCAGCATGGTGGAGGGGGAGGGCAGCAGGGTGGGAGGACAGGCAGAGGCACAGCCATGGTGCTATGTCTACAGACCCCTGTGGGCCCCGAGAGTTCTGCCAGGATGGAGGATGCAAGAGTCTGCAGTGGGTGTGTGACATGTGGAGAGATTGCACCGATGGCAGCCATGACAACTGTACCAGTCCCCTCTTCCCAGCACCAGGTGAGCCCTGGCAGTCCTGGGTACCCAGGCATCCAGCACTCTCCATGCCACTCTGCCCTCCCTGATGAGGGTGGGGAACAGCTGGGGGTCACTGTCCCATCTCAGGGCTCTTGTTCTGTGGTGGTATTAGTATTTAGAGAGAGTCAGTATAGGGAACATTAAGACTTTGGGGAGTGGAGAAGTGGGACTTGGAGAGTCATCCATCCCTTCACATAGAGTCCCTCTTCGGAGCTCAACTGCAAGGTGAAAAATGAGGTAGGATGTGGAGCAGGGCGCCTCGCATTCCCTGAGGTCACAGGGGGTGCCCACCATGCCCGGGGCTGGTGAATGATGCTTAGAGCGGGGTCCCAGACAGTAGGGGCTCTCCATCTGTGCCAAGCACCTCACCTTGTAACCTCTTGGGAGTCTCCTGACACCACGGGCCTGACCTGGGGTCCCACAGTGACAGGTCCCTCTTCCTCCTCCCCCCACAGAGCTGGCCTGCGAGCCTGTGCAGGTGGAGATGTGCCTGGGTCTGAGCTATAACACCACAGCCTTCCCCAACATTTGGGTGGGCATGGCCACCCAACAGGAGGTGGGAGAGGTTCTCCGAGGTTACAAGGTGCCTTGGGCCAGCCAGGAGGAGGAAGAGGAGGGAGGGAGGCTTTGGGCAAGCGCACCTGAGGGGGAGGAGCATGCCCCAGCATGCCTCAAGGTGGTTCTCTCCCTTCCTTAGAGCCTGACCAGCCTACCCTGCTACCAGCACTTCCAGAGGCTGCTCTGTGGGCTGCTGGTACCCCGCTGTACCTCGCTGGGCAGCATTCTGCCCCCTTGCCGCTCTGTCTGCCAGGAGGCAGAGCGCCATTGCCAGTCTGGCCTGGCCCTTCTGGGCATTCCCTGGCCCTTCAATTGCAACAGGCTGCCTGAGGCAGCAGGCATAGCCACCTGCGCCCATCCGTGACCCTGACACCGGCCCCTGTCCTGCACCTGCCCAGGGCTCCCTCACCTATCAGGGCAGGCAGGCAGGGTGGGAAGGGGCACTAACCTGGGGTCTCCCAGGAGGGGGAAGGGGAATCTGCATCACCACCCCTCTCCTTCCCAGTCCCTCTCCCAGGCTCCAGACTGCCCCCACCCTCCTTCCCCAGCCCTGACCTGGATCTCTGTCCTTGGCCTTCCCCCTTACTGCTTGCTTTTTCAAGTTCTCTGTCACCCACATTCCTACTTTTTCGCTAGTCAGACAAGACTGAGTGCCCACTGACGTGCCAGACCCTGCTCTGACCCCAGGGTGGGGATGGAGGTGGGGCAGTAGATGGTCTGCCCCCATCCCCACCCCCCACAGTTCTCCCCCAGGGCTCCCTCACTGGTACCACCTCCTGGGAACAGCTGGCGCCCTGCGGGTTTGTCTCTCACGGTGGGGGGCGGGCTCCAGCCTCAATCTCCCTCCCTTCTCCCCCACACTTTGGCCGGCCGCCGGGCGACACCACGAGTTATTTCCCTGCTATTTCCCGGCCCGGAGCTCTTGGCCCTTGAACAACTGGTTTCCTCTCGGAGACTGGGAGGAGCAGCAGCCGGGCCGGCAGGGAGCGCACCGGGACACGCGGGGCTGCCAAGGGGCAGGGGGGCGCCTGGCTGCGGAGAAGCGCAGGGGCGGGAGCGCAGGAAGAAGCCGGCGTGGGGACATCCAGCAGCCGAGAAGCGGGCAAAGGGTGAGCCCTGCTAAGGGGGCGGTGAGTGCGGGGGGGGGGGGGGGTTTGCAGGGCCCGGCCACCTCCCCTCCCCCCTCGCCGATGCTCTCCGCAAATTGGGGGAGACCCCTTTCTAATTCTCCCCCACAGGCACCCCAAGCCCCGGGACCGTTCTGGGGGCATGGCTGCGGTGGGAGGGGGGGACCAACAGGGGCTACGCCCAGGGCGAGAGTAAGGATGCAAACTCTGATGCCGCCCGGCCCCGCAGACTACCCAGAGGACGCGGCCGTCGGGTTCCCGGTGCCGGCGCCATGAGGCCGTTCTTCGCCCTGTTGCTGCTCCTGGGCCTGGTGGCAGGCTCGCCCCCCTTGGACGACAACAAGATTCCCAGCTTGTGTCCTGGACAGCCCGGCCTTCCAGGCGCGCCGGGCCATCACGGCAGCCAGGGTCTGCCTGGGCGCGACGGCCGTGATGGCCGCGACGGCGCGCCCGGACCTCCTGGCGAGAAAGGCGACGGCGGGAGGCCGGGTAAGGAGGCACATTGGCGGCCATCGTTGTGGGGGGCCATCTGGGTCAACTGGGCTAGACTTTCACCCTCTTGTACCTTTCGTCCCCACACGGGGACGCAACTCCCCCTTCCCGACCCTTTGCGGCTCTGTACCGGATGGGGTGGAGGGTGGACCGGAGTGAATCAGCCATCTGGATCCTGAACTCTGGGGACCCACTTGGGCCAAAGCCCTCTTAGATCTGCTCCAAGCTCTGCGGGAAGGTGTGGAGGGGGCCGAGCCCTGAGCTGAGGATGGGGTCCTTAGAGGGGTCCTCCCGCTGGCACACTGTCGCTCACCGCTCCCCTTACCCACAGGACTGCCAGGGCCGCGCGGGGAGCCCGGGGCACGGGGAGACACAGGCCCCCCTGGACCCACCGGGCCTGCAGGCGAATGCGCAGTACCCCCACGCTCTGCCTTCAGCGCCAAGCGCTCAGAGAGCCGGGTGCCTCCGCCCTCTGACGCACCCCTGCCCTTCGATCGTGTGCTGCTGAATGAACAGGGCCATTACGATGCGGTCACGGGCAAGTTCACCTGCCAGGTGCCAGGGGTCTACTACTTTGCCGTCCATGCCACCGTCTACCGGGCCAGCCTGCAGTTCGATTTGGTCAAGAATGGCGAATCCATTGCCTCTTTCTTCCAGTTTTTTGGGGGCTGGCCCAAGCCAGCCTCGCTCTCAGGGGGTGCCATGGTGAGGTTGGAGCCCGAGGACCAGGTGTGGGTGCAGGTGGGTGTGGGTGATTACATTGGCATCTATGCCAGCATCAAGACAGACAGCACTTTCTCTGGATTTCTGGTATACTCTGATTGGCACAACTCCCCAGTCTTTGCTTAGTGCCGGCAGCAAAGTGAGTCATACCACTCCCTGAGGAGGAAGAGGAGGGTGTGACACTGACAGCCACATCATCCAGGAGGGCTGGCCCCTCTGGAGCTGACATCCTGCTGTGGACAAGGAACGGGGAACCGAGGCTGGCAGCATGGGGCAGCAGCTGGACTTCTGCCCAAGAACACAGGAGTGGGTTTTGTGCTGCCAAGTCTGGGTGGGTCCCCCAGTTGCTCGGACCCAGGGTCCCAAAGGCAGGGTACTGTCATTCTTGTCTTCTACTTCTCTGAGCTCTCCCTCGTCCCTCCTGCTCCCTGGCCAGCCCTGTTTCTCAGAGACCACTCAATAAATCTAAAAAACCCCCCTCTGGCTTCAACGTTTATTCTGTGGTGGGGGTGCCCCATTTCTTTTTTTTTTTTTTTTAAGATTTATTTACTTATTGGAAAGTCACATATACAGAGAGGAGAGACAGAGAGGAAGATCTTCCATCCGATGATTCACTCCCCAAATGAGCGCAACGGCCGATCCGAAGCCAGGATCCAGGAACTTCTTCTGAGTCTCCCACACAGGTGCAGGGTCCCAAAGCTTTGGGCCATCCTCAACTGCTTTCCCAGGCTACAAGCAGGGAGCTGGATGGGAAGTGGAGCTGCCAGGATTAGAACCGGTGCCCATATGGGATCCTGGGCATTCAAGACGAGGACTTAAGCCATTAGGCCACACCGCCGGGCCCGGGGATGCCCCATTTCTGAAGGTCACTGAGGGGTTGGGCATTGTTCAGGCAGAAGGGAGGGTTTGGGGGATGAGCTGTTGGCCTAGCAGTTGGAATGCCTGGGTTCCAAACCCAGCCCTGGCTTCTGACCAGGCTTCCTGCCAATGCAGACCAAGGAGGCAGTGGCTGGCTTCCTGCCACCTACACAGGAGACCCAGATTAAGTTCCAAGCTCCTGGATTTGGTCCAATCCTGGCCCTAGCTTAAATCTGAGGGCATCTGGGGAGGATGGGACCTCTCTATGTCTGCCTGTCAGATAAAATGTGAACAATAAAAATGTTTGCCAGTGGGTTGGAGCCACGGAGCAGGGGGTCCAGGTGGATGAGAGGCTGTCCAGAGAGCTGTGTGGGCTGTGAACTGGGGCAGCTGATCAAGGGACTACCTTCTGGAAGGGCTTCTGGCCAGAGCAAAAGGAAGCTTTTCTCACCCATGAATGCCAAAGGAACCAGGCAGGATCGCCTCCACCACACATAGCCTTCCCTGACCTATGAGAAAAGCGCCCAGAGGGTTTTCAGTGTGGCTGCTCTGGCTGCTGGCCTGGTCCCTAGATGACTAGGAAGGAAGCTGTTGGTCTGGCTCCAGCATTGCTGGTGTCTAGAAAAATGTTCTTTTTTGACAACCGCAAGGGGGCATCCCAGCGCCAGAACACAGTGTTGACCCGGAGCAGCTGGAGTTGAACTAGCAGAGCAATTAGCAGGGCGGGAGGGCTACTGAGGTCTGCCAGAGCAATTCCAAATGAGGGTGGAGGAAGGGAGGCCCTTTGGCTGCCAGTTCAGGAAGTTTATCTCCTTTCATGAAATGTCTATACCCATGTTAAACAGAGACTGGAAGGAGCCAGGGCTGGGGAATTGGAGAATGTCAAACCCCCTATTCAAAGTAGAGAGCTGGTCATCTCAGGGGTGGGCTGAGCCACTAAATCCAAGGCCCTTCTGACAGCCATTCAGGGCTTTCCTCCTCTAATCTTCATAATCCAGTCTGGTGTTGGGGGGATCCAATCCAGCCCCTCAGTGGGCCCAGCTCACAACGCAAAAGAAGGTGGAGACACCTTCCCCCCCGCCCCACCCCGGCTCATCCCAACTTCCACTTGTAACGTATAATTATGGGGATGGCAGATAATAACAAGGCCCCAAACCCCAGCCAGAGATGGGCCTTGGCTCCCTGTTTCCCTGCTCCCCACCGGGAGCTCCCACATACAATGTTCTGGCCCACCATAACACTAGACTCCATGCCAAGAGCCACAAAGACACTAGTATCTCCCCAGAACAGAGTGGGTGGGATTCCAGGCTGCAGAGGGAGCCCCCAGTTCCCTCCTGGGAAGGCTGACTCCAGGGGCAGAGCTAGCAACAGAAAGGCTTCACATACCAGAGGGCATGAGGACCACCACATGGCAGGGAGATCTTCTCTCCTCTTCCCCCAGCCCAGGACCCGCAATGGCACAGGTCACCCTGACCACTGCCCATGCGCCCTCCCATAGATGCACCCAGAAGCTGTGAGAACTGTCAACAGAACATTATTTATTGGAAACTGGGCCGGCCAGACCCCTCGGGGAGCTGCTTCTGAAACAGCTGTTTATGTGTCTGAACCTAATGAAAAGCAGTCTGCACCCTCCACTGCCCACCACCCCCAGCACTGCAGAGGAACAGTCAAAGGCAAATTGCCAGCCTTCTCCGACGTGGGGAGTGAGAGGGGAACAAGGAATGAATAGAAATGTAGAAATCTGGTCAGCCCTCCTGAGGCACCCAGCAAAGCTGGCGTGCCCGAGGGCGGTGGTCCCAAAGCCAGGAGGCGCACACATGGACTCAATTCCCAACTCAACTCCCGAGCCAGGCCTTTCCACCAGGTCAGGAGGGAGCCTCACAGGATCATGATAGGGACAAACAGCCCCAAAGGCCCCTGAGATGCCACCCCCAAACCTTCCCAGGGTACTGGGGCTGGGGCCAGACACAGATTCGAGAACCTGTGAGTTGCCAAAACACCCAAATGACACTGATCGAGGCTGCAGAAGCTGGGGGTACGGGTGGAAAGGAAGCAGGGAAAGGACCTACAAACCCCCAACAGGAAGCCCAGAGGCAGATGGGCAGCCACAGGGGCTGGAATCTGGGTGGGCCCCAGGCAAGCTGGTGCAGAGCCCACTGCACTGCCCAGTCCTAGGGCCCTTGCATAGTGATGCACTCACCACCCTGGGCAAAGTCCTGCCTGGGGAAGAAGCCATGCAGCCCCGCGCCACCACCCCCCACCAAGGCCCCCAGATCGCAAACCGCCGAGCATCTCCCATCTTGGTGTATGGCTTGGAGGCTCTTGGTAAGTCAGCCACGGGGAGGACAGCAGGAATTCAGGCGAGGATCTGGAGATGTGGGGATGCTGCTCTAGCGCAGACGCCTGTGTGGAGCGTGGAGAGTGGAGGGGTGGGCAGGCAAGGTGGCAGTCTTCAGAGGTAGACATTGAGGGTCTGCAGGATGCCCCGGCGGCAGAGCGGGCAATTGCGGTGGTAGACAGGGTGGCGCATGAGGATCTCAGTGCAGGCCTGGCATAGGCACAGGTGCCGGCAGGGCAGCAGCAGCACCGTCTTGCTTTGGTCCTGGCAGATGACACACTTCTTCCGCTCCTCTTGTTCCTTTAGCAGCTTCCAGGGGTCTTGCCCGGCTGTAGGCTCCTCTTCATTGAGCTGCTCCCGGCCCCAGGTGGGTGTCACTCTGACGCTCCTCACCTCCTCTGAGTCCTCCTCTGTGGGCTCTAATTGGAGCCCAGCTTCGGGTAGAGGATCCTGTGCTCGGGGCCGGGCCAACGCCCTACGGGGGCCACCATGGGGGGCTCCAGGTGCCCCTGCCCGGTTTGGCCAGCTTGCTAGCTGCAGGCTGCGACTCCAGACTCGACGCCATGCCTCCAAGCCCAGTGCCAGGCGAGAGAGCCGCATAACATCCTCCCGGAGCCGGTGGTAGGATGGCCGGGCTTGCAGCTGACCGAGAGCTCGGGTGGCCAGCCTCACAATGAGGTCTGGGTGCAACACAGTCACGGTCACCGCTAGTACACAAGCCAGCAACACCAGACCCGTAAGATGGACAAGCACAAAGCTGGCCAGGAGGCGGGCGGATGAGGCCAGAAGCTCCAGCGCTAGCTGACAGGGTGTCCACAGGAGGATGGCCATGGCCACAGCACTGCTAGAAATGTGGGCCAAGAAGGTGGCCACCACATCCGTCATCCTCCACAAAGGGCCCGTGACTGCATCCCACAGGACCAGCACCAGGGAGAAGAGGTTCTGCGTGCCAATGAGGCAAATGTTGACCAGACTGTTGATCACATAGGCCACCAGGCTCATGGCAATGGCGCAGACATCACAGGCCTGGCGCAGCAGAGCGTGCCCACTGGACACCACATTGAGGACACCCCGATGCAGCAACTCCCGGCTCCGCAGCGCCCCGTGAGAGGCCAGGTGTCCCAAGAGCTTTAGGCTCTCCAAGCCAGAATAGCAGCTGTAGAGCAGTGTACACAATGCCTGTAAACCCCCAGAGGTGAACCGGACCAAGGTCTCAAACAAGGCCAACAGCGACAGCAGGACACCGCGGCCCAAGTGCAGAAGGCTGGTCAGTACCGTGTGCGGCAGGTTGTAGATGAAGGCCAGGAGCCAGGCCAGGGTGGCCAAGAGGGAGGACACCAGCAGAAAGTTGAGGTCCAACACCAATGTCAGCACGTCCAGGACCAGGCCCACCCCGTTCACCACCAGGTACACAGCCTCCATGATTGGGCTAGCAAAGTTAGTCCTGAAAGAAATCTGTCTCCTCGGCTTGAGAACGTTGTCAAGGTTGTTAACACTTGAGGGGGGAAGAGGGTCAAAGATGTGGAGGGCGGGTAAGCAGTCTGACTCAGAGGGAACCAAGAACTTGACGAAGAGGGTGCAGCTAAGTAGAGTCAGGAGAGGGAAAGGGTGTCAGGTGTCGGTCCAAGAGTCCCGGGGTGGAGGGCGGGCTGGCTGAGAGGGAAGACACCAGGCATCTCCGTAGGGAAGGCGAGCCGGGCTGGAGAAGACACCCTAGCCTTGGAGGCCGCGTGTGGCGTACCACGGCCGGGCAGCGGGTCAGCGAAGGAGACCGGGAACGGATGGGATGGGATTGGGCCGGGCCGGGGCCGGGGCCGGGAGGGGGCGGCGCAGGCTGGGCGCAATCCAGCCACGCAGGTGCCCCCTGTCCCCGCCCGGCCCCTGTCCTCCCGTTCGCGGCGCTTTGCACCCAAAGGGGAGAGTGGGAGAGGGAGTCAACCTCTGCAAACCCCAGGCGCGGCCTCCACTTCGCTGGGCGCCGCCATCTTGCGTCCGAAGAGGGTGGGGCAAAAGGCGTGACGGGCGGGGAGGGGGCACGACGAATTTCGACCAATCGGTGAGAGCCAGTCGCAGGGACGTCGAGCTGTCATTGGCCCGTTTGAACGGCGCCCAAACTTGCGCACTGTCCATACGGGGGGCGGAGGCACAATGAAATCCCCGCCCCTCGGCCGCGGTGATTGGTCCGCTGGCGGGTAGCGCCCAGCTGGGCCCGCCTCCAGGAGCCGGTCCTTGGGCCTGGCTCGAACCCGACGCCGCTGTTAGGATGGCCACACTGGAGGACGTGGAGGGCTGGACGTCCCCGGGGCTTCGCTGCCCCGGTCCCGCTCGGGCCCACCGCCTCAGCCCTCCCTTCCTCCGTTCTGGCGTGTAACGAACTCCTTCGCACACACCGCGTGTAAACGCAGCCTGGTTCCCCAGCGGCTCCCGAGGGGAGGCAGATTGTTCCTGGAGATTCCAGATTTGCTCCTGCAGATCTGTGCGGAATTCTCCGAGGACCTGCTTGTCACCGGGCTAGGGAAATGCCAGGTGCCGGACGGCTCTATCGGGCTCCGGGAGACATCGATCTTTCCTTTCCCTTTCTTATTTGTACTTGAAACACGGAGAAAGAGAAACAGCGAGTGAAATCTTCCATCCTCTAGTTCGCTCCCCAAGCGGCTGCAACAGTGGGAACTGAGCTGATTTGAAGCCAGGAGCTTCTTTTGGGTCTCCCATGTGAGTGCAGAGTCCCAAGGCTTTGAGCCATCCTCCTGCTCCTTTCCCAGCCATAAGCTCTCTATCTCCTTCTCTTTGCATATCTGCCTTTCCAATAAAAAGTAAATTTAAAAAAAAATTAACTCAAAATCTGTGAAGCCACCACCTGTCATACTGACATCCCATATGGGTGCTGGTTCAAGTTCTGTCTGCTAATTCACTCCCTGAATGGCCTCAATGGCAGAACTGAGCCAATCTGAAGCCAGGAGCCAGGAGATTCTTTTCAGTCTCCCACGCAGGTGCAGGGTTCCAAGGCTTTGGGCCATGCTCCCTGATCTCCACAAGCAGGGAGCCGGAAGGGAAGTGGAGCGGTTGGGATACAAACCAGCACCCATATGGGATCCCAGCACATGAAAGGTGCGAATTTAGCCACTAGGCTATTCCACTGGGTCCAAGAATGTTAATCTATACATTCCAGCTTAAATCAACAAACACGAAAGCGAAACAAATAAACCTACCTATGTTTCAAGTAAGTCTGATGGAAAGGAGAGGGGTACACCCTGATCCCACATGTTTGAGGGAAAAAAGAGCCCTTGAACCGTGGTTACTGGGTTTGATTTTGTGGGTGCCTGTTGACGTTGTGATTGGACGCGTCTTGTGGGACTGAACAGACAGGGCTAGCATGCTGAAAGGCAGAGGTCTCCGGGGAAGGGAGATTCAGACACGAGATGCAAAAACTGAGGGTACAACCTTGGGAGCAAGAGTAGGATGGGAGTCACCAGTGTGACCATCTAATGGCTTTTCACCCACATCCCCACCCAGAAAGGCCCGGGACTGAACGTGCCCAGGGCCCACACATTCATTCCTCTCCCATGTCCCACTGCAAGCAACCTTGAGAAAAATAGGCTCAGAGAAGACACAAAGTAAGCTTGGTTGTGCCTGCAATGAAGTGATCCAAAAACTTCTCAGGGAATGGCGAGTGCCAAAGGACACGGGAACCAGTTTAAAGGCAGCCAAGTCTGCGTTAACCTCAACACTGAAAGAAGTCAAGGACAGCTGGCGGGGGTTGTGGTGCAATGGGTTAAGCCACTGACTGCTTGAGACCCCCACCTGGTTAGAGTCCTGGCAGCTCTGCACTTCCCATTCAGCTTTCTGCTAACACCATCAGGCTGCAGCCGTGATGGCCCAAGTGCTTGGGTCACTGTCACCCACAAGGGGCTTATGGACAGAGCTCCAGGTTGCCGGCTCCAGTCTGGAACTATTACAACTATAGACCGAACTATTACAAGCCTTTGGGGAGTGCATGGAAGACACCTCTATCTGCCTTTCAAATGAATACATTAATAAAGCTTTTAAAAAATAATGACAAGCACAGAGTAAGACCCACTGAATAAAATAGTAAGGTGTAAGTCCAGATAAAAAGATACAGATCAACAAATAGGAGCCTATGCTGTGGTGCCACATGCCATGCCAGCATTCCACACGGGCACCAGTTCAGCTGCCCCACTTCTTCATAACATGTCAATGTTCATGAACTTTTAAAAAATATTTATTTTACTTTGAAGTCAGAATTATGGAGAACGAGGAACTGACATAGAGAGATCTTCCATATCAACTGGCTTATTCCCCAAATAGCCACTGTGGCCAGAGTTGAGCTGTTTTGAAGCTGGGAGCCAGGAGCTTCGCCAGGTTTCTCATACAGGTGATCGGTCCCAAGAACTTGGGCCATCCTCTGCTGCTTTCCCAGGCCATTAGGAAGCTTGGGAAGTGGATGGGAGCTGGATTGGAAGTGGAGCAGCCAGACCTTGAACTGTTGCCCATATGAAATGTCAGAGCTGCAGGTAAATGATTAGCTTGCCATGCTACCACACCAACCTCAAGTGTTAATGGACTTTAAAGAAATAAAACTTGGGCCCGGTGCGATAGCATAGCGGTTAAAGTCCTCACCTTGAACGCGCTGGGATCCCATATGGGTGCTGGTTCTAATCCCAGTGGCCCCGCTTCTCATCCAGCTCCCTGCTTTATGGCCTGGGAAAGCAGTCAAGGGCGGCCCAAAGCCTTGAGACCCTGCATCTGTGTGGGAGACCCAGAAGCTCCTGGTTTCTAGCTTTAGATCGGTGCAGCACCGGCCATTGCACTCACCTAGGGAGTGAATCACCGGACGGAAGATCTTCCTCTCTGTCTCTCCTCCTCTCTGTATATCTACCTTTCCAAAAACAAAAAATTATGAAAATAAAAAAAAATAAATGATAAAGATATGATGAAACCTTTTTCTGCAATAAAATGTTATCTATCATCCCTTAGCAATGTTTAAACACAACATACAGCATTTATTGTTAATTTCTGATTTTAAACACTTTTTATATTATTTTATTTTTGATGATGTTTACATAGTTGAGAAGGGTGCATGCCCATATGAACCACTGATTAGGGTGGGAAGGGTCGAGGATTAGGGGAAGGTGGATAAGACCATTGTTTCTAATTTTTGCGAGACACGCAGCGGAGACGGCAGCTGAATTCCACCTGCCAGGCGGCCATGGAGGAGGGCGCACTTCACCTCCATCACACACGCCCCAGGATGCCTTCCTCGGCCACGGCCACGGATCAGGGTCCTAGTGGAATCCTGGATGCACCTAACCCTCTGCGTGCTGGCTTGACACCCTGTCCCCCGTCTCTCAGCAGCTACCCTGGCCTCCACTGTGTGGAGTTCATGCGTGGCTTGCTCCTAGGGGACTCTGGGTGAGTGTGGGCAGGAGGAGAGGCTGCCAGTAGGTGTCAGTCACATGTGGGACCTCCGAGATCAGTCTCTCCAACCCAACCACCTGCCTGTCCCCCATCCTAGTGTGTTTTATTTTCTTTTGAAGATGTATTTATTTGTATTGGAAAGGCAGATCTCAGAGAGAAGGAGAGACAGAGATCTTTACTCCCCAAATGGCCGCAACAGCTGGAGCTGAGCCAAGCCGAGCCAAGCCAAACCCAGGAGCTTCTTGTGGGTGCAGAGTCCCAAGGCTTTGGTCCCTGCTCCACTGCTTTCACAGGCCACAAGCAGTGAGCTGGAAAGGAAGTGGAGCAGCCAGGACACGAACCAGCGCCCACATGAGATCCTGGGGCATACAAGGTGAGGACTTTAGCTACTAGGCTACCACGTTGGGCCCTAGTTGCCATTCTTCTGCTGGGCTAGATTGGCTACTGGGATTAGAAGAAAACCACAACCTATGTAGGAGGCAGCCTCCCCCAGGGGGAACAGGATGTTCTGGGGCCCAAGGGCGAGGGGGTCCTGGAAGGGAAGTAGAGCCTTGAAGAGCAGGGCATAAGCTCTGATTTGGGAAGCTCACACCTCATATTGGAAGGCCTTGTTCCAGTTTTGACTACCTACCTGGTTCTCTGCTATGGAGAGAGGGACGGAGGGGAGGATGGCTCAATGACTTGGCTTCCTGCTGCCCACACTGGAGACCAGGGTGCAGTTCCTGTCCTAGTCCCAGCCAGCTGGTGAGGGCATGTGGGGAGTGAAGCAGAGGATGGAAGACATTCTGCTCTATCACATGTTTACATAAAGAAAGAAATCTTTGGGCCCAGCATGGTAACCTGGTGGCTAAAGTCCTCACCTCACATGTGCTGGGATCCCATATGAGCACCAGCAGTTTGTGTCCCGGCAGCTCCACTTCCCATCCAGCTCCCTGCTTGTGGCCTGAGAAAGCAGTCAAGCATGGAACAAAGCCTTGGGCCCCTGCACACGTGTAGAAGACCTGGAAGAAGCTCCTGGCTCCTGGTTTTGGATCAGCTCAGCTCCCATTGCAGCCACTTGGGCAATGAATCAGCAGACAAAAGATCTTTCTCTCTGCATCTCCTTCTCTCTGTATATCTGCCTTTCAATTTAAAAAATATAAAATAAAAACTTTAAAAAATAGTAAAAATAAATATTTTATTTATATTTCTTTTCTTTTTTTTTAAAGATTTATTTCTTCTTATTGGAAAGTCAGATATACAGAGAGAAGGAGAGACAGAGAGGAAAAGCTTCCGTCCGATGATTCACTCCCCAAGCGAGCACAATGGCCAGTGCTGTGCCAATCCGAAGCCCGGTTCCAGGAACTTCTTCCAGGTATCCCACGCAGGTGCAGGGTCCCAAGGCTTTGGGCTGTCCTCAACTGCTTTCCCAGGCCACAAGCCGGGAGCTGGATAGGAAGCGGTGCTGCCAGGATTAAAACCGGCATCCATATGGGATCCTGGTGCGTTCAAGGCGAGGACTTTAGCTGCTAGGCCACGCCACCAGGCCCTATATTTATTTTCTTTTTAAAATGTTTA